GGGGTTACGTATTGCTAAATGGTGGATGAACATCAAAGAGATTGGGATCAGCATATACCACTATTCCTAATGGCATATAGAAGTGCAGTTCACAACACCACTGGACTTTCACCATCGAAGATTTTATTTGATCGAGAATTACGGTTGCCTTGTGACTTGGTGTTCGGATCACCAGACGACAGCACCACGAACGTAGAGGACTACGCGGATGAACTGAAGGAAAGGTTATTGGGAATTCATAAGGCCGTGAGAATGTAAGATTGCGCTAGCCAGTGACCGGATGAAAGCTCGTTACGACCTCAGAGCTAATTCTACGGGATTTCGACAGGACGATATGGTATGATTATATAACCCACAGCGCAAGAAAGGAAGGTCCCCAAAGTTAACTCCAGCATGGGAAGGTCCTTATACAGTCATCAAGAGGATAAATGATGTTGTGTACCGGATTCAACGCAGCCCTAGAAGTAAGATGAAAGTAGTGAATGAAACAACCTGAAGGTCAAATAGCACGATGGCTCGAAAAGCTCCAGCAGTATCACTTTACCATCCAACATCGTGCTGGAAAGATGCATGGTAACGCAGACGGTTTATCCAGAAGACCCTGTCAAATCGATTGTAAGCACTGCTGTAAAACGGAACAACGCGAAGGCACTGTCATGATAAGGAGTTTTTAAATTTGGAACCGATGAACAGTGGACGACGACACAATTGAGGAAAGATCAAATGGAAGATTCAGACATCGGAGCAATACTACGGCTCAAGGAAGGTACGGCGAGAGACCACCGTGGCAGGATATTGCGGACAGAAGGCTCGTTTTCAAAGCTCTCTGGGCTCAGTGGAATTTACTGGTTATTGAGAATGGTTTGTTAAAGCGCACGTGGGAGAGTGCGGATGGCAGGACATTAACAACTCAGTTACTGGTACCAAGGAAGAAAGTTACCCAGGTATTGGAAGAAATTCATGTTGGTAAAACTGGAGCCCATCTTTGGGTAAACAAGACCCTGAGCAAGCTGAGAGACGGTTTTTACTGGGTGGATTATTGTGAAGATGTTAGGAAATGGTGTCAACGTTGTAGGATTTGCGCAGCTAGACAAGGACCAAGTACTCGATCTGGAGGAAAAATGGAACAAGATAACGTTGGACTGTCGTTCGAAAGACTCGTTAGGAAGGAAAGATTATTGGGAATTCATAAGGCCGTGAGAAGTAAGATTACGCTAGCCAGTGGCCGGATGAAAGCTCGTTACGACTTCAGAGCTAATTCTACGGGATTTCAACAGGACGATGGGGTATGGTTGTATAACCCATAGCGCAAGAAAGGAAGGTCCACAAAGTTAACTCCAGCATAGAAAGGTCCTTATACAGTCAACAAGAGGATAAATGATGTAATGTACCGGATTCAACGCAGCCTTAGAAGTAAGATGAAAGTATTTCATCTGGATCGATTGAGGAGATACCAGACTGGAAATCTTGATCGGAACGATCAAATTTGAGAAGGGGGCAATGTCAAGGTGTATTAACTGGTTGCATAACTGCCATACTGCTAAAAAACTGAACGATAGCCTTGTAGGAAACCTGGCGCATTTCGCAGAAATAAAGAAAAATACAGAATTCTTTAGAAAATCTAGAAACAACCGCCAGGGGGTATATAAAGTGCCTACAATAAGAATACTTATATATTGTTTTTATTTTTATATTGTTATATTATATATTAATAGTTGAAGAGAACATGCACGAGTGCAGTCCCTGTCATTCAAGGTAGACTGTATGGTCGCATCTCGCGCCAAGTGTCGGCTGTTATATATACAGTCGTTGAATTGCGAAAGTCTAAGCTGAATAGTAGTTGCATTAACGTTGTTTGTAAAATAGGTATTATAGTGTGTGTATAAAGTGAGAAAGTAAATTCGTTAAGTATTTTATCAGTGAGTTTTAAATTTAAGTGCGAGCCCACGGAATCGTAACAGTAATAAATATATTAATGATATTAAATTGGGTTATAGAAGATCAATTTTTAGGTATGGGTTTTTCTCCACCATTCCCTTTTTAGTAAACAATAATAGAGTATGATTTTGCAAAAACACTAATTACGATGTAATAAACTTACGAATGTGTCTTGAAAATTTTGGAAATTATTATATTTCATACTGTTTGTTTCATGTTAAATTGTTAAAATTGTTTATACAATAGTTCGTTTATTGATTAGTTGTCAAAATTATTATATTTGGTATTAGTTAATGTATTTTATTTTTGATGGAATAATTAGATCGCTTGTTTTTATTCCTTAGTATATCTACAGAGTGTAATAATCATGAAGGACAGCAGCGAAGAATAATTAAGGGATTGATCGACTTACCTGTAAGGATGATCGATCCTAATTATTCGAGCTGCTGTCCGAAATGATTATTACACATCCCGCCCAGTAAGCCCTAAGCCCTGCGATCTAATTATTATGATTAAATAATGCAATGAGGCAGGTATTCGGGTACATAACACGGCCGGGCGGATATCGGTTGTTTATGAAGTTTTTTATCTTGGTATATTTTTTGTACTGGTCAGCGTAAATATTGCATACTACAGAGTGTAATAATCATTTCGGACAGCAGCTCGAATAATTAGGATCGATCATCCTTACAGGCAAGTCGATCAATCCCTTAATTATATTATAGTGATATATTTTCGTTCTTATATTTATTACTTGTTCTAGTATTAAAAATATTTGTGAGTGTAATATTATAATATAATATATATATATATACTATAATAATATTATATAGAGTATATATATATATATATATATATTATATATATAACTATATATATATTATATATATATATATATATATATATATATATATTTTTTTTTTTTTATCCTTTATTCCTTTAATAAACCGTAGGTGTTTTGATATGGGACAGATTGTAGGTTAAATATTTAAAAGCGTATTATATAAAATTGAGTGAATTTGAGTGAGCCTTTTCGAATCCAGGTTCTGGGACAACCATGATGGAACAAATTATCAAAAAATAACAATTTAAAACTTAAAATTTTATCGCAAGCTTTCACAAACGGAGTAAACAAAAAAATTAACCTCAAATTTATTATTCAACATGCACGTCAAATCAAATCGCAATGTTGCCAGTTATTCGCTGGCGCACGAGCACGGTTCTGCAATGTGATTGGGCGTATTTTTCATACGTCATCAATTGGCGCTTTAAAGTTATTCCCACTCAAAGCAATTTTGTGGGCCGATAAAAAAATTTTTCAATGTCATGGAACTATTTTATTTGACTGAAAATAGTCTTCTATTTCAGATTTTGCCCTTGAATTGGGTATTTAATTTTTTTGTGAAAGAGCCCATTACAATTCAAGTCATTACAGCCATATCGAAAACCCTTCGGGTCTTGCTAATTTTCTTGATATACTTCTTCTTTTGTCATTTTATTCAGTAACTAGAAACAACAAGGTGTGTCCTCTCTGAGAGTAAGGCCTGCAAAAGGCAAGTCGTGTTCAGAGTAGATCCAGTGATTTTAAGAAGTCTCAGTAAAGAACATGTTTGTTGTTGAACATGATACAAAAATACGTACGTGCGTGTAATCAAACACAGTAATGACAATATGCTTTATCACTGCAGTGAAATAATTCTTTCGTAATATAATGTGTAATTTTTGTTTCAGCTTTTACCAAGATTCATTCCGGTAATTTCATCGGAGATTATGTGCAATATGCCATTTGTGGTATTATGGCGACTTTGGTTCTCACAGTCCTTTTATGCCTCACTTAAATCTAGTTCAACAAAGGTTATAGTGGAAACAAAGCGTTTGGAATATTGGGCACTATATTCTACACTGTTGTGGCCCTGACTATTTTCTTTTCAAGTTCTGTAAGTATTAATATTCCAATTTTAAACGGAATCGTTTTTAACTGACGATTTTATAGGTTCCTCTCGCATCTATCCATCCTAAAACAAACTCTACCGTTCACCCAACGTTAAAAACAACATACAACAGATTACACAAGACAAGAATCGTGAATCAGTATGGATTGTTCCCAAAAATAGTCGGCACTGAAGGCAGGCCAGAGATTATTTTGGAAGGGTCAAACAGTTTGGAAGGGCCCTGGAAAGAGTACAATTTCCTTTATAAGCCAGGCAATGTCAATCATTCTTTGCCCTTTGGTGGTAATGTTATTCTTTGGTATATGTGTTACTTCTATACTAATTTACGATTTTTTTTAATTTCAGTTCCATATTCACCAAAACTGGATTGGCAGTTCTATTGGACAGCACAGAGTACTTATGACAAACAACCCTGGTTACTGTCTTTGACCCATAGGTTGCTGACTGGTAGGCCAGAAGCCCTTTCTTATTGATAAAAGTCATTCGGCCTTTGGAGATAAGCCTCCCAAGTACATTAGGGGCGTTTTGTATAAATATAAATTTACTACAATGAGTCAACAGTAAGTATTAGTTGTATATGTTACTGTAAATGTCCGAAATGCGGTAAAACCTAGGATAAACGCGCTAAACCTAGGATTTACCATTGAATAACACCCTCCAAATAACCACGCTAACCAACTTGAAATGCGGTAAAACCTAGGATTTACCGCATTTCGGACATTTACAGTAACATATATAAGTATTAGTTATATTGATAAAGCAAAGTTGTGAAATTATTTTATTTATACAGGGTGGCGCACCTCATTCGCCTCGGTTGATTATAGGAAAACGGAAAGATGTAAAAACAAAATATTTTATAGGTATATGTGGAAAGACAATGTGCATAATTTAAAATTATTTTGAAATATACAGGGTGTATCAGAACTAAGATCCATACCAAAGTTATATTTTTTCTTATGGAACACCCGGTACCTATTTTATTTCATTTTTGGATTCTTGGACATAAAATAAGACATTTGTTATAAGGGTTTAATATGTATAAAAGCTTTGGTTTTTGAGATATTTAAAGATATTTAAATATGCATGCTATAATAAAAAAGTTTGTCAACATCTTGTACAGGGTGTCCCACTAAGAATAGCTCTCGGCTGTATCTCGGAAAGTATTAGCCGTAGAGGCAGCGGAAAAAAATATTTATAACTAAAGCGGCTATGGGAAATTGCTCGAAATTATTTTCAATTTCTTTTTTCATTTTCATTTTCTTTCAAAAGTTTGTAGAGCGACCCCTAGGGGGCGCAACTGCAACAAAAATAAGAAAATGTAGTTTTTACATAATTTTGCCTAGATAAGGTGTACTATAAGTAACAGCTTCATAATCTTCAGTAAATTTTGAATATTTTTTGTTAGAGCCATTCCCCTATCTACCTAAATAAAGTGGTGGGGGAGGTTAGATCTGTTTTTATTTGAATATTAATAACTCTGGACTGGATGATCGGAATCCAACAAGCGATGGCTCGTTTAAAAGAGCGTTTCTTACTCTATATTGTACCATATAAACAATAATAATAAGCTTTTGAACGTAGACGCTAGGGGGCGTTGTCTTACAATTTAACAAACATTGCGCGTTTTTTCAAAAAAATTAAATGCAATAGTATATGTAATTTTAGCTGATAGTAAAGAGTAGTAAAAGCTTAAAAAGTCAGCGAAAACCGCATCTTGATATCTTCTTTCAAACCGAAGATATTAGCAAAATTATAATAAATACCAAAATAAGCCCTTAATTACCTTACTTTTACAACACGGTATCAGTAGCCCTCTTGATTATGCCCATTCTAACCTAAAAATAAGATAGAAATAGTTAGTTCATTTTAAAATCGACGATATACCAGAATATCATAATATCAGATGTATTATTATGTATATCAAATTATTAAGATATTAATAATAGTGAACAAGAAACGATGATTCAGTGATGTCATGGTAGGCTTTGGAAAAAAGTTGCTTTTGACGTAATAGTATAAACGTCAAATTGTTATTAGATCAACATTTTTATAGTCGTAGCAGCGTTTTTTATCTTTTGATTGCTTTTTCAAAATGCCAACAACTTCAACTACTTCAAATAATAAAGGCATTTTGAAAAAGCATTTAAAAGATAAAAAAAAACGCTGCTAAGACTATGAAAATGTTGATCTAATAACAATTTGACGTTTATTTGTAGTAGAGTGTTGACAAACTTTTTTAACTTTAAAAAACTTTAAACTTTTTCCTAAACATCTCCAAAAATAACACTTTCTTTTTCAAAAATCAACTTTGCTTTGTCGTTGATTGTCGTTGATCACTCAGTACATTTTTTTAGTAAGAAAAGAGATAAAATTTTAATTTTTTTTTCTACTAGTTCTGGTACAGCTTGGTGGGTGCGTGAACGAGTGGCTGGAATATTTTTCACCCTATTCTAAAGACTCGCCCGCCCTGGAAGATTTCTTGAAAGCCAGAAATCTATTGCCTACCAGCAAACCCTCCGAACTGAACCCTCTGTGGAAACAGGTGTTGGATAGCGTTAGATTCTTAGCCAATCAGGTCGAGGCGACGTTTTTGTTCTGGTCAGTGTTTACAGCCGGGTTGGCCATCATCGCAACCACGTCATCATCGAATTCTTAATTCGATGTAATTTAAAAAAAAATCATTGGTAAACTCGGGAAAGGCACTCGCCTCAGTTGACGGTGTATCAATTGATGTGGCGAGTATAAAGTGTTTCTGTTATCAATTTTTATTTTGTGAATGTGAATAGTCTGAGAGATTTTATTTATACATTTTTTTTTGTTAACACACCGTTCATAAAGCCCTTTATACACTCTCATATTAATTTTTAGAAATTACACTAAACGACAACTCTTAACATTGATATAACTTTTTGAGATAATTATGGGTTTTGGTTTGTTTGCATCAAATATTTAGAGAGTTAAGGAGCAACAGCAATTATTTATATATATATTTTATGTTATAGAGTATCATTTTTATTTTCTACATAATTTGCGTATAACTTTATGATCTTTTTAATCTTTTGAATGTTAGTTGTCTCCATTTATGCTTATCTAATAATTTCAAACGTTTAATTTTGACTACGGCAAAAGAAGATTTTTAAATTATTTATGTTAACAAATTTACTAGAATTTTTTGTGCACTTAAGACTTTTTTAAATAATAGTAAACTTCAATCTTCATATTTTTTATATATTATTTTATATCATTTAAGGGCATAATACGTAATATTGAAAAAAAGGACCTTTTGAATAGAATTGAGAATAGAAGTTCATTTCAACTACTATTTCTCTTAAAATTATTAAGTATTTTCTAGCGGCTGTTTAATTATTCTATTTTTTATTTCTTCCTTGTGAATCTACTAAATTTTGAAATATCAAACTTAGGGTACCATAGGGTATCATACTATAGGTTTGGTTTATATATTTATTAATTTTTTTAGGCATCAATATTTTTTATGATATTGATTTAAATATCACAAGGTTTATTACTTTTTTTTTTTAAATATTACTATACTAAAGTCTTTGTACAGGGTGGCTCGAATTCGACGCTCCTCATTGGGATTGCGGAAACTGTAAGAGATACAGGATCAGTTAAATGGAGGCAAAGTTGCGCAATTTGATGCTCAATAAAATGCCGTATTGCATTTTGAAAAATTTTGAATACTTCCGAATATATTCGAAAAAAAACGAAATTTTCAATTTTGTTTTCTATTGTTTCCTGGCTTTATTTGTTAAGATAACTTAAAATGAAAAAGACATTTTCATGGCCACTTTTTCTGCTTTATAACTCGTTATAAATTACTCGTTATAAAATATCGCTATATTGACGTTTCGGCTTCTGGCGACTATCATCAACTTAATTTTTTTAAATACGGACCTGATTTTTTTCTCAATTTAATTAAATCCTTTCATCACTCCTAAAACACTACACACAGGGTGGCGCACCTCATTCGCCTCGGTTGATTATACGAAAACGGAAAGATGCAGAAACAAAATATTTTATGGGTACATGTAGGAAGGCAATGTGCATAATTTAAAATTATTTTGAAATGTACAGGGTGTGTCAGAACTAAGATCCATACCAAAGTTATATTTTTTCTTATTTAACACCCTGTATTTTATTTTATTTTTGGATTCTTGGGCATAATATAAGTTATTTATTATAAGGCTTTAATATGTTTAAATGCTTTGATTTTTGAGTTATTTATAGATATTTAAATATGTATGCTATATTAAAAAAGTTTGTCAACACCCTGTAAATTACTGTTCGGAGTTAATTCTTTTGCTGACTTTGAAGCCAGTGAAATAAACTTTACTAAAAAAATGTATTGCTTTCTTAAATGTATACAGGGGTATCAAAAATTGCTGATCTATTTTAAATATTTATTTTACATAAAAACTTCGTTATTTTAATTACAAACATGTATTTTTTTGAAGAAGTCGAAGCAGATTTCAATGCTCTTTCAAACTATATTAGGGTTTCCTATACCTATCTGGCTCAGATTTTAACTAAAAAGCGATTTTTCAATAAAATGGCAAACAGGATGGCTGGTGTCGCCATGGCAATTTGCTAGTGACAGTTAGTAGCTATTATCAAAATCGTCATTAGTTTATGGACTTTATTTAACGGTTTACTTTTATTTAATTTACCTACAATAGTTTAATAAGTAAGTATTTATTATTTTATCAAGAAAAATAAAGAAGTACCGTGAAGTGGGGTGACTTTGTCCAATTCTTAATTTTAAATCGTGTTTATTTCAAAAATTGTTGTATTTTCTCAAATGCGCATGGTCTATGCTATAAGTGGTAATAAGGACAACGCAACAATAATACGCTTTTTTTTTATTAAACAAATATATACAGGGTCCGGCATTAGTGCGTCGGGCATCTGTAGCTCCTAGAATAAAAAACTTGAGAATTTTGTTTAAGTGCAAACCTAAAGTATGTACCAGGATGTATTTCAGGAAAATATTTTAACTTCTATAGGGTGGCTCAAAAAAGTGTGAGTGGACTTGGATGATTTTTTTTAAATAGAACACCCTGTATCTTATTGCATTTTTGGCTTCCTTTCAGATCACGTTACATAACCCTAAGATATGAATAAATATATTTCGATAGTTTCAGAGATATTAAAACATAAATCACAAATATATATTTTTCAGCCATTCTTAAAAAAATTATTAAAAATACAAGAACTTTTTGAAATCAAAACTACATAGGTATTTACATTAGATGGTCTGTTCTTACTTTGCTATAAATATGAAAATCTTAAATTATACAGGATGTTCAAAATTCTACGTCAAACTTACTAAAATATAAAATAATTTTTCTTCGTTTTTTTAAATGGAATACCCTGTATATTATTTTTTCAATAGACGGAGAATTAAAAATTGAACATTTTTTTGTATTTAGAGTATTTCAAAATTTTGAACGGTTTCGCAGATATTTGAGGTTTTATATTTCATATGGCATTTTCCACAGTAATTTTTTATCAGAGAGACCAATGATTTTTCTCTCATATTTTACCATTGAAAGCGCCATATGAAATAATAACTGCGTGTATTTGCGAAATCGTTAAGAATTTTGAAATACTCTAAATACAAAAAATGTTCATTTTTTTACTCCCCATCTAATAAAAAAATAATATACAGGGTGTTCCATTTAAAAAAAACAAAGAAAAAATATTTTATATTTTAGAAAGTTTGGCGTAGAATATTGAACATCCTGTATGATTTACGATTATCATATTTATAGCAAAGTGAGAACAGACCATCTAATGTAAATACCTAATATAGTTTTGATTTCAGGACATTTTTTGTATTCTTAATAATTTTTTTAAGAAAGACTGAAAAATATATATTTTTGATTTATTTTTTAATATCTCTGAAACTATCGAAATATATTTATTCATATCTTAGGGTTATGTAAAGTGATCTGAAAGGAAGCCAAAAATGCAATAATATACAGGGTGTTCCATTTAAAAAAAATCATCCAGGTCCACTCACACTTTTTTGAGCCACCCTATAGAAGTTAAAATATTTTCCTGAAATACATCCTGGTACATACTTTAGGTTTGCACTTAAACAAATTTCTCAAGTTTTTTATTCTAGGAGCTACAGATGCCCGACGCACTATTGCCGGACCCTGTATATAAAAAAAGTAAAAAAATGGATGGGCAAAGTTAGTTGCTTATATGGGGTGTCTTTGCCCTCTTCCTTATTCTTATTGATAGACCAAAGCCACCCCATTTAAAAGCATAATTACGTAAAATATGCGTCATCACCCTCAATATTATAACGAACTTCTGCATAATACTTACCTCAATATAGCGTGGTTAACTATTGCAGCCACGTAGAAGTTTGAAACGCACAAAATAGGCTTTAAAAACAGATTTGGCTTCACAGCACTGTAAATGCTACATCGCAACTGACGGCAACCGTTTAGCGACGTTCCGAGACGTGGGGCGCCTCCACCCATAATTTACCGATAACACATAACGCGTTCTTTTCAAGTAGTGGCTACGGCTACGTCTAACATATTTTCGGACGGAATTTGGAAAAGTCACCCCAAGAGGTAAAGTCACCCCATTTCACGGTAGCTCTTTGGTTTATATTACTTGTAGTTTGTTGTTATTTTCTTCACTTCCAATGACAGGTTTCTGCCTAGTAGGTTTTTCGTACACCACACTGTCAGCTCTGCGAAATAGGAAAAGTAGTTTTTCAAAGGAGGAAAATTCCTATTTGGATATTGGCCTATTTGGATATCTTTGAGCATAAACCCTTCAGGCCAACAAGCAATTGTCCTCACAAAATAAAATCACTAGTAACATATCCATTCCTTCCGCCAGCAGATACTGCTTCATTTTTCTTGATAAAATGATGAATACTTACTTATTAACTTTATATTGTAGGTAAATTAAATAAAAATAAGCTGTTATAAATTTAAATAAAGTCCATAAACTAATGTTGATTTTGAAAATAGCTACTAAGTGTCATTAGAAAATTGCCATGCCAACACCAGCCATCTTGATTACAATTTTATTGAAAAATCGCTTTTTATTTAAAATCTGAGCCAGATAGGTATCGGAAACCCAAATATAGTTTCAAAGACCATTTAAATCTGCTTCGACTTATTCAGAAAAATACATAGTGTTGTATTTAAAATAACGAAGTTTTTATGTAAAATAAATATTTAAAATAGACCAGCAATTTTTGATACCCCTGTATACATTTAAGGAAGCAATAATTTTTTTTAGTAAAGTTTATTTCACTGGCTTCAAAGTCAGCACAAGAATTAACTCTGAAAAGTAATGTACAGGGTGTTACGGGCGAGAATTAAGGGGCTCAGTTCATTAGGGTGAGTTAATGTATCAGGACTGTGGGCACTCACCTTTTTTCCCGTTCTGGACTCGTACCTGTTGATTTTTTGCTTGAACAAAACACTTGAGGATAGCGCGCGCTTGGAGGTGTACACTGTGTACTCGGCCGATCTTGTCACTCTCTCGTCACGCTGCGTATTCGACTACGGCTACGTACCCACTAAGGTTTTTCGGGTAAAGGATGGGAGGAAGGGATAGAATCCAACATACCGCCCACCAAAATGAAATATTTTCCATTTTCGTTTGAGAATAGTAAAGTAAAATAAAAAAAAAGTGAAAAATGCGTTATGTTTAAAAGAAACTAAGAGTGAAATTTATGAAGTTAAATTTAGAGGAAATTTAGAAAAATGCATTATTGGGGTTAATGCATGAGTGTAATTTAATTAAATATTAAGAGAGTTTACATTTGTTATAGAGTAGAGAAAAGTAATTAAATAAGAGATGTTAATTATGTTTATAATGAGATTATGTTTTTTTGCGATTATGTTTTTTTTGCGATTATGTTTTTTTTTTAGAGAGTAAATTTTAATTATGAGATTTGCAGTAAGGCAGTGGGCATATCTTTGTCACTGGTCTTTTAAGAATGCCTTTTGCTGTTTTTAAAGTAACCACGCGTGTAACACGATCATGGCCCGGGTGAATCTCTAAGACTCTTCCAATGCTCCATTTGAGCGGAATAAGATTATCATCTTTTATTAAAACAACCGAGTTTATTTCTATTGGAATAGTAGAGTCATTCCATTTAGCTCTTTGTAAAAGTGTTTGAAGGTATTCTTTAGACCATCGGCTCCAAAAGCTTTGGTGCAAGCGTGATATCAACTGCCAGCGAGAGAGATGATTTAATTTTATCCCGGAAAGATCATCTTCCGGAGGGGCGTTTAACGGCTCTAGGGTTAAAAAATGTCCTGGAGTAAGAACTGACAAATCATTAGGATCAGAGCTTTGTGGACACAATGGACGAGAATTAAGCACTGCTTCTATTTGAACCAGTAGCGTATAAAATTCCTCATACGTGAGCAATTGATCACCAATGACCCTTTTAATGTGAGTTTTTACAGACTTTATTCCTGCTTCCCACAGGCCACCAAAATGAGGCGCGCTTGGAGGATTGAAGTGCCAGGAAATTTGTTCTTGCTCAGCGGCGGATTTTAGCATATTAATCAGTTCTCTAGAAGCTCCGACAAAGTTCGTTCCACAATCGGAATAAATATGATTGCAGCGACCTCTACGAGAAATGAATCGACGCAGTGCACCCAGAAAAGTCTCGGAGGAAAAGTCGGAAACCAGTTCTAAGTGCAAAGCTTTCGTGGCCATGCACACAAATAAGCAAATATAGGCTTTACAGGACTTAGCACCTCGTGCACGATATCTTAATAAAGAGAATGGACCACCATAGTCGCATCCAACTTCAGAGAAAGGTTTTACTTGAGAAAGTCTTACAGCAGGAATATCTCCCATAATAGGAGGCTGAGGCATTACTGGATTAGCGCGAAAGCATTGAGGACATTTAAAGAGAACACTACGAATTGTTTTTCTAGCAGAAACAATCCAGTATTGTTGAGCGAGAATATAGTGAAGAGTTTGGGGACCGGGATGCAAATAGAGTTTATGAGTATATTCTATGAGTAGAGTAGTAAATTTATGATTATTGGGTAAGAGTGCGGGATGTTTTTGAGAGAAATTTAGAGAAGCATTGCGCAAGCGACCACCAACTCTAAGAATTCCATTGGTGTCGAGAAAGGGGGTCAATTTTCTTAAGTATTTAGGTAGAGATTTGCAATTATTTATTAAGAGAATTTCCCTAGCATAATATTGTGATTGAACACATTTAATAATACATTCTAGAGTTTCATTTATTTCAAATTTCGAGAGAGGAGAGGTTTTACGAGATTTAGAATGTCGAGTATTATAGAGAAAGCGTCTGCAAAACGTGACAATATTTATAATTTTAGAGAAAGAAGAGAACTTTTCAAAGAGAGTATCAAACAATGAGGGCTGTGAAGTACATGTCAATATAACTTTTCGTTGTTCTTCTTCAATTTCAGGGAAAGTAAAATTGATTGCGGCCAATAAGATTCCGGTTGGCTTAGCCATGGAGGTCCCGCCCACCATAAGGCATTGTCGAGTAACTCGCTAGGTTGAAGACCACGAGAACCTGGATCAGCGGGGTTGTCTTTGGAGACTACATGACGCCAACAAGAAGGAGGTAATTTCTCTTGAATTTGGGAAACTCGATTGCTTACAAAGGTGTTCCACTTATATGGTTCACTTTTAAGCCAATGCAAAACAACCATCGAGTCGGACCATGCAATCGTACTAACATTAGTAAGTTTATTAGAAAGAGAAGTTCTAACGAAATCAATTAACCTGGTCAGAAGTAAGGCTGCACAGAGTTCCAGTCTTGGAATTGAGATTTTTTTGAGTGGAGCTACTTTGCCTTTAGCGCAGACAAAATTTGTTTTTACAGAGTTATCTGGAAGAATTATCCTAAAATAAATTACTGCACAATAGCCTTTTTCACTAGCATCACAAAAACCATGTACTTCCAGGGATAAATATTTGAGAGTGAGAAAATATCGAGGAACTTTGAGAGAGAAAATACAAGGTAATTCTTGAACGAGTTGATGCCAAGATGTAGCAATGTTATTGGGAGCAGGATCATCCCAATTTATACCTAACTTCCACAAATCTTGTATAATCAGTTTTAGGTGAAGAGTGAGAGGAACTAACATGCCACAAGGATCGAATATGCTTGCGAGTTGTGAAAGAATATTGCGTTTGTTACAGATTTTGTTTGTCAAGGACAACGCTGGTGAATCAAAGAAAAATTCATCTGTAGAGGGATTCCAGTTTAGTCCTAGAACTTTAGAGGAAGAAAGAGAATTTATATTTAAAGAGAGAGAAGAATCCATTTTGCATTCATTTGGAGATAACTGAGAAAGAAAATCTGAGCTATTCGAAGTCCATTTTCTAAGTTCAAAACCGCTGTGTTCCAGTATAGAAATGAGATCGCGTTGAATTTTTATAGCAAGAGAAAGAGAATCGCAACCAGATATAATATCATCGACATACGTATCCATATCTAAAATCTTTGATGCTTCGGGATATTTTACTAAATTTTCTAAAGCAATTTGTTTTATAACTCGAATGGCTAAAAATGGGCTACAGCTTAAACCAAAAGTAACGCGAGTAAGTTTGTATTCTTGAATGGGCTCATTAGCGTTAAATCGCCATAAAATTTTGAGGTATTCAGTATGATTTTCATTAACAAGAATTTGACAAAACATTTGTTTAATATCGCTAGCAAATACAATCAAATGCGATCTAAATCGAAGTAAAATAGATAAAATATCTGACTGTAATTTTGGCCCAGTTAAGAGAGTGTCATTCAAAGATTTATTTGTGTAATCTCGGGCGGAAGCATCAAAAACAACTCTAAGTTTGGTCGTGAGACTATCTGGTCGGATTACGCAATGATGCGGCAGATAATAAGAATGAGCGTTGGGAGAAGGATTTTGCACGGCAATCATATATTGAGAATCTAAATATTCACGCATGTAATTAGAATATTGAGAATACAATTGGGGGTTTCGAAGCAATCGTTTTTCGAGCGAGAAAAATCTACGAAGGGCGACATCTCTAGAACCTTCAAAGATCGGTTCCAAAGTTTTAAATGGTAAAGATACTTTATAACGTCCAGAAAGAGTGCGTGAAAATGTTTTACAAAAGTGTTCTTCGGCAAGCTTTTCATCTGAAGAAAGCGTCGAGGATTGTGGAACGTCCTCTAACTCCCAGAATCTTTGAAGTGATTGATCCAAGGAAGCATAAGAGGTAAGAAAGTATGAGTTTACAGAGAGTGAAACACTAGATGTTTTAACTCTTCCTGTAATTATCCATCCAAATATAGTTTCTAAAGCGACGGGTTGATCTGGATCTGAGAGGAGTTTGTTTCCTGTTATCAAGAAACCATAAATATCTGCACCCAAAAGTATATCTACGGGTTTAGAGAGGTGAAAGTTGGGATCAGCTAAGGGCAATTGAGAAAACTTTGAGAACTGTTCAACGGGAAGAGAATTAATCGGTAAATTATCACTAATTTCGTTTAATATAATAAACTCCAAGGAGTAGATCGGATCAGACTTTCCAATAGGTTTAATGTTGCATCTAACACCGTGAGAACCTTTGGAAATATTTTTCCCGATGCCACACAATTGGATGGGGAGGAAAAATTTAGATAAACCTAATTTATTAAAACAAGATTTTGAAATAAAGTGACTTTCACTTCCACTGTCAATTACAGCGCGTATTACATGAAAATTACCCCACGCATCTTGAACATTGATTAATGCTGTAGAAAGAAGAGCTTTATTCTTATGTTTTGCAAATAAATTTGTAGATACAACTTCTGAGATAGAGCTGCTTGCTTGCAGAACTGGAAGAGTTTGCGATGAAGTGGATGGAGGAACGTTTACAGGAGTTGTTATTTGACCTTCGAAATGTAAAAGCGAATGATGTTTTTTGCCACAAGTTCGGCATGAGGAACGAGAATTACAACTCTTAGAAGAATGTCTAGTGCCGAGACAGTTTGAGCACCAACTTCGGGATTTAATTAAATCATATCTCTGTTTTGGAGTAAAAGCAATAAAATCTGGACAGTTATAAATAAAATGATCCTTGTTACAAACTTGACAAGTTAAATTTTGTTTCAACTGAGTGTTGACAACAAAGGAAGAGGTAGGTTTATTTTTATAACTTTTTTGTGAATACTTCGTTTTAGTTTTGTCATAATTACTATTTTTATTAAAATGAGAAAACGATTTAGTTAGAGAGATTGTATCTTTAGCTGAACATTGTTTTTCTAAAAATTCAATGAGTGTATCGTATGATTTGAGGTATAGCATATCTTGTGATAAAACAGAGCCACATTCCAGTTCAAAATTAGTTTGCAAAATTTCTGGAAGTCTATCATAAATCATATTAAATAGCACAAAACTCCAGCTCTCTGTGGGAAAACCCAAGTTATTTAAAATTGTAATATTACGAGTATAAATATCAATCATATTTCTTAGAGCTTCATGATTATTTTCGTTAGAGATGGGCTTAATATTTTCTAGAGCCTGCCAGTGAGCTTTTGCAATCAAACGTTTCTTATCGTACTTATTTTTTAAGGCTTGATATGCTATATTATAATTTTGATTGGCAAGTGGAGTACTAGATACCAAAGCTAAAGGAGGACCTCGTAAGAAACTCACTAGATAGTTGTATTTCGATATATCACTAAGAGACGAGTTACAGTGTATAAGAGAATCAAACATATCGATAAATGTTTGCCAATGTTTAAATTCACCATCAAAATGGGGTACCTCAATTTTAGGAAGTTTTACGAACATTGAGCAGTAGTGTTTTGTAATTGTGTAGTATCCAGCTCCGATTTCGTTTGCGGAAATAAATTTGTGAATAATGCTTCAATGTGAAAATAATAATCATTAAATTCAGTTTGAATTTTGACATGAGGATCAATATCGCCATTATCCTGTGCGGAAACTAATAAAATTATATTATTATGAATCTTATCAAAAGTTTTATAAATATCTTCTAAGTGTTTTGCTCTACATCTAAAGTTAGGGTGAAAATTTGGATCTTCAAGAGCTTGATCAGCGGATTTTTTAAGTTCTTTAATTTTAGTAAGTTCTACAGAGCGTTGAGCTATAAGAGTTTTTAATTTGCGAGCGTCTGCAGACATAGCGAAAATGAGTATAATAATTAATTAGAGCGTAAGAGAGAAATGGAATGCTATAAAGTGAGAAAATAAAATATTATAGAATATAATAATTAACTGAGAGAGAGAGAGAGAGAGAATGATATATTCTACAATAAAATATTATATGAGAAAATAATTATTATATTTTTACCTTATAAGGTGAGAAAATAAAATATTATAGAATATAATAATTAACTGAGAGAGAGAGAGAGAGAGAGAGAGAGAGAGAGAGAGAGAATGATATATTCTACAATAGAATATTATATGAGAAAATAATTATTATATTTTTACCTTATAAGGTGAGAAAATAAAATATTATAGAATATAATAATTAACTGAGAGAGAGAGAGAGAGAGAGAGAGAGAGAATGATATATTCTACAATAGAATATTATATGAGAAAATAATTATTATATTTTTACCTTATAAGGTGAGAAAATAAAATATTATAGAATATAATAATTAACTGAGAAAGAGAGAGAGAGAGTAATTAACTAAGAGAGTAAGAGAGAAATAGAATAATTCACTGAGAGAGTGTGTATGTGTGTGTGTGTGAGAGAGAGAAAATAATTATTATTTTTTAATTAAAATTAATTATATATTATAATAATAATTATTATTTATTAATTAAAAATTAAATTATTAAGAGAGAGAACAGAGTAGAGTTGAGACTAAATGCGTATCGATAAATTTGAGCGTGAAAAAGAAATATCCGGACCAGTATCGCGAAACAGCGCTAGATATCGCTTTTAACACCGGTACGGCAATTTAAAAATCGATCGGTCGGTGGCAAATTCCTGGCCAGTGGAACCAGTGACAAAAATGTACTACCTTTTACTGCGTTAAAGAGAAGATAAATATAGATTTTGTTCGAGAATTTATTTTATTGAATATATTTAAAATAATATATTACAAAAATATTAATGATATTTAGATAATTTTGAGAAATTAATTATGATAATCAATTTAATTGAGTATAAGTAAAATATGTATGTAGTTCAGAAAGGGATCTGCGGCGGAAGGACCAATGCTACGGGCGAGAATTAAGGGGCTCAGTTCATTAAGGTGAGTTAATGTATCAGGACTGTGGGCACTCACCTTTATTCCCGTTCTGGACTCGTACCTGTTGATTTTTTGCTTGAACAAAACACTTGAGGATAGCGCGCGCTTGGAGGTGTACACTGTGTACTCGGCCGATCTTGTCTCTCTCTCGTATTCGACTACGGCTACGTACCCACTAAGGTTTTTCGGGTAAAGGATGGGAGGAAGGGATAGAATCCAACACAGGGTGTTGACAAACATTTTTATTATAGCATGCATATTTAAATATCTTTAAATATCTCAAAAACTAAAGCTTTTAAACATATAATATAATAAATTCCTTGTTTTATGTCCAAGAATCCAAAAATGAAATAAAATACCGGGTGTGTGTTCCATAAGAAAAAATATAACACTTTGGTATGGATCTTAGTTCTGACACACTCTGTATATTTAAAAATAATTTTAAATTATGTACATTACCTCTCTACATATACCCATAAAATATTTTGTTTCTACATCTTTCCGTTTTCGTATAATCAACCGAGGCGAATGAGGTGCGTCACCCTGTATAGTCACATTGATATTTGCCGACGTTTCGTACAGAAAATTATGCAAAAAATAATAAAAAAAAATAAAAATGCAATACGGCATTTTATTGAGCATCTAATTGGGCAACTTTGCCTCCATTTAACCGATCCTGTATCTCTTACGGTTTCCGAAATCCCAATGATGAGCGTCGAATTCGAGCCACCCTGTACTGTTTTATATATTATCTATATCATATTAGTGCAGAATAATGTAACATTTAGTTCAACATTTCGTTTCAAATAGAATCGAGATAATAGTTCATTTGAGCCTACCATTTCTCTTAAAAATATAAAATATCTTCTAGGTGAGGTTTAAGTGTTCTATTTCTAATTTTTCACTTTGAATCCTTTAAATCAAAATTTAGAAAAAGATATATTTTTAAGTACATTCGGGTGTGTTTTCTGTAACTCAATAATATCTTTTTCAATTTGTTTCAAACTATTTGGCACACCCTGTATTTTCCAAGCATAAATGTTATATTTTTATCGTTACTTAAATGAACAAATAACAAATTTGCACGGATTAATCATTTAAATACCATCATCATTTATTGAGATTATTTGAAGAGTATGATCTGTCTGCACTAATAATGTTTTAAAAACTGTAGAAATGAGCATTAGCTATGATTTCTGTTTATAATACACTTAGAAATATTTAATATTTGTATTTTTAAATTTCGTACAATATAAAGTATGCGTTTTTTTTAATTTGTATCATGATAATGAATGTGGGTAAATACAAAAGTTTTAAGGTCAGCCGAATCTCATAATAAATGTCTATCGAATCTCATTTAAAAGTCTATATTGTTTTAGTTAAGTTCATAATAGATATTTTCTTATTAGTAATTACCTTTACATTATTATTTTTCATTTATATAAGACATACATATTAGATTACTTCTAAATAAAATAAGGAACATCAGATGATGATCTTTATAAAATATATATCTAGTTTTAGAGTTGGTGAGTAAAAATGTGTCTAGATCATAAGGTAAAACTGTTTTTTTTCTTAACTATGTATGTCGTACACGATAAAGGTCTAAATAAAAGGTAATCGCAGCCGTTTTTTAATGACAAATATATCCTATAATGAACTATAGCACGCAGCTTATAACTACCAGCTGGTATTACTTGTAATCTTATGGCAGGTTGCTTTGAAGTGAAATAGTTCATGTTATGCCTTTTAACTGTACAGGGTGGGTCAAATTGGACGCCCCCTTGTGAAACACCCTTTTCTAGATAGATAGACGAAAACTAATATCGGTGTCTGGAGTTTAACTTTTATCAAAAACATGATGGTGAAAACCGCACATCGATATCTCTCACCGTTTCGGAGTTACGGTGTGTTTTCCAAAAATTTCCATTTTACACAAATCGCTGTAACTTTTTTGCTATGGAGAATTCTGTATTTTTACGAATTTACGAAAACATTTCCAAAGCAACTTTTTACGTAGAATTTAATGGTTTAAGTTTTTTTTTAAATTAATAATTTAGGATTATCAACAGAAAATGTGATTTTTTATATGGGACACCCTGTATATTTTTAATTCATTAGAAATAATTTAAAATTACCTTTTCAAAAATATAGCATACTTGATGTTTTGTTTGATTCCTCTTCGAGATATAGAGTTTTTAAAAATTCACCCATTTTGAATAAGTAGGTTTTAAACGGCGCTGTGGGCAGAATTTAGAACTAAAATAATATTTGCAATGAGAGATGCTGAATTTTATTTTTTTTATGTCTTCTGTTATGGACAGACGGGACCGTTTTGAACATTTCTCAGTGGGGAATTCATTAACTCAGTGGGGGTGAATGATACCCTGGCAACCGCTAAGCACTTATAATTATTGTTTACATTATACGGGTAATTTAAAAATAAGAACCTTTATTCTTCCGCAAAGATAAAAATCCATAGGCGCTAAGCGCTAAGTCCGGTGGCCTCGACGGCCAACGGCTGGGATTTTGGTTACCTATTCAATTATTCTCGAAATTAGCTACAAAAATTTGCTGATAACTTCAGCGTTCTGAGACGATGCCTCGTCTTGCTGGAAAAATATGTTTGCGAGTTCCATTAGGGACAGATCATCAATAAGGGTCCAAAGCCTACTAGCTGTGCTACTAGTTAAAAGTAGCGAACTTTTAAAAATTCTGTATTTCGAAGGCGACTTTCAAAATATTAAGTATGCTATATTTTTGGAAAGATAATTCTAAGTTCTTTTGAGTTAAATAAAAACATACAGGGTGTCCCAAATAAAAAAAAAATATTTTTTTCTATTGATAACTATTAATTTCAAATTAACAATATAAATTATTAATTTACAAAAAAATATACTTAAACCATTAAATTCTCCTTAAAAAGGTGATTTGGAAATAATGTTTACATATAAATACAAAATGTTCCTTAAAAAAAGGCAAAAACAGCGATTTGTTAAAAATGCACATTTTTGAAAAATACTCCGAGAAGGTAACAGATATCGATGTGCGGTTTTTACGATCACGTTTTTGATAAAAATTGAGCTCCAGACACCGATTTTAGTTTTCGTCTGTGTCCTATAGAAAAAGGCGTTTCCCTTTAAAAGCGTCCAATTTGACCCACCCTGTACTATAATGCAAGAACCACCTGGGGAGGTTTCACTTGCAACATATTTCGTATGTATGGGGATAGGCGTGGGTAGTTGACGTCTGTATTTTGCAGTATAAAGGAGAGGCGACATCTGTAGGTTTGGTGGAAACTTATGGACAATAAATAAAAATGGTATGTTTTATGATTTCGAATAATATAGGATTTGGAAAATACTTCATATTTGGAGTAATGTTAATGATTTCTGTTTAACAAATAATTATAAATATTTAGAATTGTCTTCTGTTCTTCTTTACTCGTACCGCTACTGTTTTTATCTCTTATTTCCGAAAATTGATCAGGTGC